CCCTCCCTCCCTCCCTCCCTCCCTGCCTCCCTCCCTCCCTCCCTCCCTCCCTCCCTCCCTACCTACCTACCCACCCACCCACCCACCTACCTACCTACCTACCTACCTACTTACCTACCTACCTACTTGCCTGCCTGCCTACCTACCTACCTTCCTACCTACCTGCCTACCCTAATGCCCAGGATGGTAGTTAATGTTTGCCACTGCTGCTTGATTGCTACCGAGATATGGCAGTGACTGTCCGTGCACAGCATTGCAGGAGGACATGCAGGTGAGGTGTTTTGTGTAGTAGAAGATGGTTTCCTGAAGCATCGTATAATTATTGCATGCAGGGTCATGTCTTGAATGAAGAAGCTCATGGCTGTCATGTCAAAGATGTGTCGAATCTGTTCCCACTTGCTAAATCGCTGCTGTTCAGACAGCTGCGGCATGTTATGGCATGTTGCGCTGAGCTTCCTTTCTGGTAGCCTCCCGTGCTCTTTCGGATCCTGCGCCTGTATGAACTGCAGTTGTGATGGAACGCAGCAAGTTTCGTGCGTGCGAGGTCTTGGTTGCATCGCCCTGCCTGGCTCAGTTGAATGGCGCAGTTTCACCTCAAGAAGCCTTCTGGTATGGGGCGGGGAGGAAGCAAATGCACAGGTCGCACAGCATTCTCTAGCTATATAAGTCAAGTGATCCCACTGATTCTGCTTCGCTTGTTTCACTGAAGCATGTCTTGATTCTTCCCGTGCAAGATGCGTGGGAAGGGAAGAAGCCATGGGACAGACCGAAAAAGGTTTCGGACATCAGCTCTCAACCATGGATCCGCCCACGGATGGCAATGTCAGCGTCATCAGGTTCTGAGTGCGCACTTTGCTGTAGTTCGGACATGTTGTTCTTCAGACTTCTTCTTATCACGAGATGTTTTCTTGCTCTGGCCTTGGAGCCAGTCTGGCAGCGTACCCCTCTCCGCTGCCGCGGCAGAGACGAATCTCGGTGTGGTCCTTGTCTGCTCTACACTGCAGGAGAGGCCTCACACAGAATGCCTTGAAAGAGGCCCGGGATCCTGCAGCATTGGCTAGCATGCGGCTGGAAGCCTTTCCAGGCTTCATGGCTGTAGGATTGTTGCTTGTTCCCAATGTTTGGAGTAAAGTAGCCTTGCTGTCGTCGAAGCTTCGAAAGGCTTGGGGGTTCTTGGAAAGTTGAAACCTTCTGCAGTGCAGCCGGCTCTCTTTCGAGTTGACCTCGTACCTTATGCAGCTCATGCGCTTCCACGTGCCTCTCACATCGTCCTCCTTCCAGTACAGCCTTTTACTGTCCCCGACAGACACATCGTCAGACGAATGATTAGCTGCACAGGCAACAGCAATAAGAGTTCCATCAGCACTCAAACTCCGGAGTCATGGCGCCTCGAAGCAGCCTGGTGAGCAGATTGCTGCTGGTTCCTTGTCGGGCCATAGATGGACCCATCAGCCTTCCTCCAAGACAGGTCAGAGTACCAGGTTTGGCCCGTTGTATACCATTCACTTGCAGCTGCAGGTTGCAGTTGCCAGCACCGTCGTGAACCTGTCCTTCACGGGAGGTGCTGAAAGTCCTTGTTGTCTAACCGGAATCTGTTCCCTGTCCTATGGGATATTTCTGGGAGTTGCGGGGTTCACGAATGTAGAAGGATTGATGTCTGCAAGTCCGGGGGAGCATACTTCTGGTAACTCCTGGTCGTTTATGCCGACGTAGCCTCCTGCAGCAAGTAGGACCATCGCGCCCTTCTCCGCAGCGCAGCTCCCTCACACTGGCCGCCACAAAGGAGGAAGCAAAAGTCTTGCTGCTTGGCGCTGATTCCTTTCCAATGTAGGGGAGGCTGATCCCAGAGGGCTCGGCCGACCACGAATGCATCCAGGTTGGCATGCGGTTGAAGCGTGTAACCACCGCATTCTGCGAGTCTCTGCACTCAGGAAGTTATGCGGCGAGCTCAGATTTCCGAGGGGGGAACACGGCTCCAAAAGAACTGCTGTGACTTGCAGTCTTGTGCCAGATGACGAGTCTAGGTGAGCTTCCGCCCAGGTCCAACCTAAAGGGTAAGCGCCCGTGCGCCGATGAGGTGATGAGTTTCCCGCCGATGCCGACGCTGATGATAAGGAGGAGCCACACTCGACATGGCAACTGCATAGTCTCGGATCGCAGATTATCCCTTCCGGAGCCGCCAGGAGCTTCTTAAAGCGATTAAGAAGCTACCTGGAACTGGTAGGCAAGAGTCTTACGAGCAACTTGGTGTCCACAGAGATTGGGGTCCTTCAGTGCTAGGCCGAGTATTGCAGCGCCGACACCGCGGATTCTGTAGTTTTTACAGCACGGCGTAAGCTTGGTGAGGGAGGCCCATAGCAAACGTTTTCTGTGGGCTCCAGCTTTGGCTTTGGAAGCTCCTACAAGCGTGCTTGCTCCCAGAACTTCAAAGAGCTAAGTCGCTTCGTCGGCGATTGGAAAGTCGAGTGGAGCGCCTCGGATGAGGATATTCTGACTGGCGGATGCCTCTTTTCGATGAATGCTGAAGCCGGCTTGATCGTGATCTCGATCAAGTCTCGCAGTTGTTGCTTTTGTATCGGAAGCTGCACACACGATTCGAGACGATCCTGTGATGTTCCATACTTGCCAGCTGTTGAAGCATCCTATTGACCAGAGTTATTGCCGCGGTACCTGCGAAGATCTCGGAGCAGAGCCGAAGGGTCATGCAACCAGGTACTCTGGGTGGTCGTGCCTTTCAGAAGCGCAAGGGAGGTGGAGACGGACCGCCAATGAGTCTCCGCAGTGCAAAAGTAAAACCCCACTGCAGGTCCTCAAAGCCAGGCTGTTTGTGCACGACTTGCAGTATCTGAGGACTCTGAAGTTCGTCTCCTTCACAGCAACTCGTCGGAAAGACCCGTGTTTTTCATAATGTGTCCTTTCCTGCTGCACTTGGGCCCGAGGCTTTGCCTGCGACACCGGTGCAGCATCTGGGCCAAATGGATAGGGATGAATTTAGGCAGGTAATTTAGGGCCGAAGTTCAGGGCGCAGGGCTGTCTTCTCCTTATCAGCGGCTGACCGCGAGAGCAGGTTCACTGGCTCGTACAACAGAGAGCCTTGGCTTGCATCAGTGGTCCATCGCAGCAAAGCATAGCAAAGCTGGCAAGCGCCCAGAGATGTGCAGAGGTCTCCGGAACACCCACGGGTGGAACATACCAATTGCTGCAGACATTCACACTGCCAGGGCCTCACTGCTCAGATCACCCAGAAGCAACCTGTCACACAACCCTCAAGGCCCGACAACAAGGAGGGCACTGAAGCTGCCATGGTCCTGGAGGGCAGCTGGAGCGGCCCTGGCTGCACCAACATGAGGGTTCAGAAGCGTTTCGGGAATTCTTCGTGGAGCATTTCAGTGCAGGGCATTTTTGGGCTCAGTCTCACAAACGGATCTTTTGTGAAGTGAAATCCAAGTGGCGCCGCGTTTTTTCTTTTCATTACCACTCACCATATCTTTGGTGGGTTTCCCTACCAGCCCAGGCACCGGTGATTCCGAGGGCAACTGGGGCAAAGGGGCACCGAGGACTCGCGCGCCTAGTCTGGACAGGTTTCAGAAGAGTCAGGGGCTTTGTTACAACACCAGAGTTCTAAACATGCTTGGTATGTTGACGTTCGGCTTGGGGTTGGAGGTTCCGGGCTGGAGATCGGGTGCGGATGGCCCGCACGTGCATCGCCTTGTCCCCCGAGTTTGGCCAGTAAGCACGGTTTGCGAGGTCTGGCTATCGTACTTTCTCTCCCTGTGCTGCTTGTGAGGTTCCAACCGAATTCCAAACAGTTCGGCTTGTCCCCTCCATCAAGGACGAGGACAAGAGCATCAGACTCAGCTGAAGCGGCTGGAGCACACGTCACGCATGCGGTTCGTGTGGACAGGGGACGCGAGATCTGTACACATGCGGATCAGGCTTTTTTGGAAGTGGGCTAGGGGGATTTCGCATTATGCACCCCGCGAACACAGTTTCCAGATCGTGTGCAGTCCAGGCCGAGCAATGCTGGAGGCTGCTGGCCTAGGCTGGCAACTTTCAGGGCTTCGAACGTATGACTTTCTTGCTGTGGCAACTCCAATCGACACAGCCAAAGAGCTTGACTTGGCGCCACGATTCATGAAACTCGCCATTGATGGAGGTGCTGGTGACGGATGCAATGCTGCAAAGTCTTTACTTAATACTCTGTGGTGCAGGCAAGTATTTCGAGCGGACACCGGTCAATGCAAAGGCGACCTACATTGACCTGCAGCATGTCAGCTCTCCGGGCAGCAAAGACGGTGACATGTGCAAAGCTGAAGCGACTGCAGACTCCACACCTCGTGCTTCCTTGTCGGGCTTTTGGCCTTAGCCACCATAGGCGGACTAGAGACCAGAAATTCCCAAGATGTCTGCTTGGCGCATGGGAATCTGATGAGGCGAAGAGATGCGTCTTCATCAGGCGCAGCCTGATTCTTGAAGCAGTCCAGAGTCTAGGATGATGGATGAAGTTGTTTCTTGGATTTGCGGTTTCATGCTTTGCATGCTCGGGGATCGAGAACATGCTTGCTGGTATCTAAAGGCCAGATGAAACAAGTTGCCACGTAAGGGATGCGCCCCTGGCAGCAATGGCAGGGTGAGTCCGGCCAGATGTACATCCTCTCCAAGATCGGTGACGGAGAGATTCCCTTCGTCCTGGAGTGAGATGACCGGCATATCTCTTGATTAGTCTTAGCTTGGTGTTCATTCTCTGCGTGCCAATTTCTTCAATCAAGGCTCCTTTCTGGCGAGCTCTGGTGAAGCGGGGAAGAGCAAGTGCTCATTGGATTTAGACTCGCTTCGCCGCTGGTTTCGCCTGAGAATTGCCAACCTGCGAACGAAAGAAGCTTGAAGTGATAGGGATCTCTGTGATCACGCAGAAGCGGAAACCATGTGGCCAGAGTGCAGACGGGCAAGCGAGGGTGTGTTTGCAGGCGTCTGAAGGCTTGGGATTGGAATCCCTTCCTGACGAAATCGCCAAGCTGCAGCCCAAGGACTCTGCCATTACAGTACGTCCCGTCAGTGCCAACCTCGAACAGTAGCCGCAGCCCAACGTCCGATCTCGAAGTTGGGGGTTGCTCATGAAGCTGTCTTGGCTGTGACATGTGGTTTTTTCCGGCACCGTTTCGTCCGCCGCACCAGTGCCTCAGAGCTCCAGGACGGATGCTTTGCGCGCGTAGCCTTGACGCTGGAGTGGCCGAGTGCAGCTAGGCAGCAGTTGCGGTGCCATTGCGGACTTGCGAGCAGTCCGCCCCATTTCGTCTGCCAAGCTAGGTTTCAGGCCTGAATCCGGAATCCGTTGCTTAGGTCAACATCCTCGACGAAAACACGTTCGAGGCAACGAGACTCTGCATTCGGCATCAGGTAGTGGACACTGTTCCACTGGCCGACAAGACTGGCTCTTCCATAAAATATCGTTGTCGTGAGCTGGTCTCCTTCCTGTGCCCAGCTGTAGCTCAGCTGCCTTGCAGGTGCCAGTTGCGGCCACGGGGCGGTGTCCAAGCCGAGGGGCCTAGCAGGGCGCCATTTGCAGTCGAAAGATCTGCAGTGCAGCTCTGCCAGGCCATCCGCATCCGCTACTCTACTTGTGCACCTCAGAGGATGCTGCCATTTGGCAATCTCATGGTGCTGTTCCCAAGTTCCAAGCTTGTGACCCCAGGCAGCCAGGGATTCCCCAGCAAGTTTGGGCAAGCGCAGGACGACGTTTATGTCGTGATCATCCCCTGGCACGGCGCTGTGCCCGTGAGGGATCAGGCTCGACCATGGTCCACGTCGTGTCGTCTGGATTTGTGATTTGCCATACAGTCTCTCATGTTAAGAAGCAAGAAAATGGTCGCTTGATCCCGACGCAAGATGTGGGCAGAGTCGGTAGAGTCTGTCGGCCAACACTGAAGGATATCTTCCTGGGCTGCACAGACATTCTTCGTGGAGCTCAGCCTCTGGACAGTTGAATCTGCTCATGGTATTTGTTCACTTTCTGCCAGGGCAGCCATCCAAGCTGGCCTTTCTACCTGCATCCAACACTTCTTGGAATCGCTCAGTCTTTGATGCCTTCCTACAGCTTCCCGAGGAGGAGAATCCCTTTGCTAGCATCCGGCTGTACAACCTTGATGTACGGCGGTCTGCCGGCGGCCTCAGACAGCAGGTGTAGGACCTTGACGATTGCAAACCCTCGGGGCTTCGGCATGCGCCTTGCCATCAGGTCCACCAGAGCCCCATTGAAAATGCAGCGGCTTTTGGGGCCATGCCGGCTATGCTTGCCCTCGCTAGTTCTGGACCATGCAGTGCGGGTTCTTGCCGGAATGCTCGATACTGGTAGGCGCAGATACTAGTGCTCGAATTCTGTTGAGTGGCTTGGCTCAGGGTCATCCTGTGCGTTCCTGCTGTGCATCTGCCAGATGGCGTCTGAGAGTCTGCATGCCTTCGAGTTTTCCTCGCTCTCTGTATTGGCCTCAGCCACTTTCCTCTGATCGGTTCTCATCGCTCTGAGCCGAAAGCTGTGAGGTTTCTTCCGGCAGGGTGATGCCGGGGAAGCTCCAGAAGAGCGGCTTGCAGGGCGAACTGTGCCACAGCTGCAACAGATACTAGACTTTCCGGGTCATTTCGTGGAGGAATAGTGTCCTGAGATCTGGGGGACAATGGTTCTGAACAATAGGAAATGAGCTCCTCAACAGAAGGGCGGTGGCGGTGGGCTCCTGTCCGCGCCATGCGTATTTCCTGCCATGAGTCTGAGCGAAAATCCAAGCCCAATCAGACACGGTGCCCACAACATCCTGAGTTCTCGCTTGCGCAGGTTCATCGCTCGGAGGCCGTCTTGCTGCTTACTGCCAGAGTTTGAACGGTTTGGGCCACTTGAACTCAGATAGGAGCCTTCGAAAACTCTAAAGCAGGGTCAAATTCCATAGTGCCCTGATCAGGCCGTTTGCAGTCTGTTTGTGGCAGAAAGAGATGGATGAGACCTGGCTTTTCATTGAGACGCGCCGAAACGTGGCTAGATTTTTACAGGGTGTAGTCTGTTCCATGCACTGAGGACTTGAACATCCCACTCTCTGTGACAATGGTGCCCTAGCCCGTGATCACAGACGTGATGTGCACAGGCGCCATCGAAGATGCAAAGATTTGTCAGTATCACAGTATCAGAAACCTTGTTCTACTAGAGCCAGCCTCGGTGCATACCACGATGCATCGCGAAGTGTTTCACTTGTGGTCCGTGCGCGACCAACATGAGTTGTGCAGGCGGGTCAAACAGTCACGTGCTCTCCTTCTGTTCTTCTGCATCCACAGCTGCTCTTATGCATGGAGTCCGGGGTGGACTGCTGGCATTAAGGCTTGGTGCATCCTGTACTTTTGCCGTCAGCTGGCTCAAATGCAACAAGTCATCGGGCACCAACAGATTTCAGGATCACCGATCCCTGTAATTCTGTAATGCTGAACATCTTAGAGTCAACTTGCAAGTGTCGCTTGCCACGCAGTGAAGCCTCCAGATTGTTGCAACCATGGCGGCGCTTCTACGGCGGTCTGGCAGGACAGCTTCCTTTCTTCAAGTACCGCTCTTGTTACAGTGCTAGCTCCAGAAAGGTTTCGCAGGGCGTCAATCTTCCGGTTGGCTTGGGCAAGAATGCGCGTTGCTTCGAGGGCTTCAGGCCTGCTGGGCTGCCCCGTGAAGCAGCGCGGCATGCTGCCTTCCAGGCTGCGTTGGCCATGGCATGCCCAAGAAGACAGACAGGTAGTCTTCATCCACCTGCTAGGGCCTGCTCGAGCGACTGTCGATGTCTGAATGTCCACCGCTCACTGAATGTTCACTCTGCAGCTTGGCCAGGCTGGCGCCGCACCTGCGACGCTCTACCGGACGCCAGGTCCTTACGACGAGGATCTTGCAAGTCCTATGAGTCAAAGCTGGACGGGTTTCACTGCCTGGCAGGTACTGTCGTGTGTGTACCTTCGTGATGTGCTAGAGGCTTTAGACTTCTCGTGTTGCCAATCCTGCTCAAGCTTCATGAACATGACAGGCCGCACGACAAGCATGGCCCACTGTAGCGGCAACAGGCTTCCTCAAGTCATCTCACGTCCAAGGCAGCGGCGCAACGGACTTGCGATAAAGCACCCAGCAGAGTTTTTTCTCTTGACTCTACGGCTTCGCATGGCTCGCTCTGCGTTGCAAACGCCATTGAGCAGCCCTGACCTTGGCAAATCACAAGTGAAGTATCCAATGCGAGCCGTTCAGCCAACGTCTATGACTTGTTTGGCCGATGTAGCAACCATCCAAGATGTGCCCTGCAAAGGTCTGCCCTCCGAATTGCGGTGAAGCCCTTATGAACTTGTCATGCTCTGGAAAGCCTTCAGCTTTAGCCAGATGATCCGCGCCAAGCTGGTATTTGTAGTATCGTCATGTCCGGGAGACGGGAGGGAGGCCCACCAGCAATTCCAGCCAGTGTTTGTAAGGGGGCGTACTCCGTCTCGCGGAAACACTCCCATGATGCAGGCAGGGAGGAGTTGAAGTTTCGTGGTAGCCCGCATCTTGGAACTCCGTATGTTTATCCTCCACGGCTTCGTGATGACCCACAGCGGCCCCAAGCCACCCAAGCGAAATGCCAGAGAAAGGTGGAAGAGCCCCTCTGGTTCCCCCCGATTCCAGCTGACCGTGCGGGCTGCCTGTCAGGCCTCAGAGCATCGAGGGGGGAAGGGGGCAAAGAGGTTGTATGAGGTTGTGCTTCTTGGGCTCGTCAGTGCTCTCGACTTCACTCATAACTTGGGAGTCCAGAAAATAAGGGACAATGCTCAAGCCATGGGCTTGCAAACGCTTACTAGTGATGCACCGGTGCCAGAACACACATGCAGTCTGCTTGCAGGTAGGTTGGTCGTGGAGAAGTGTAGGGCTTACCGTTCAAGACATAGCTTTTAAGGTTGGGCCGCTCATGGCAGAGTCAGGGATGCTTCTTCTGCCGGACCTGGTGCCCCCGTCACTCGCACCCTATAAGGAATGGCGGATACTAGCATTGTGTCTCAGGACATCCACACCCGAACAGCTCCTTCGAACCAGATGTAACAAAGTTCTATCCAACTTGCAAGCATCAGTACACACAGGGATGCTGCAGGCATTCAGTTCCGCGCCGAGCGCCGAGCGCAGGACAGGTCTAGAATTGGGAGTCTGCACTGAGCTGATGCCATAGTTGCTGTTCTACAGTAGACGGCTTGGGGTGGACATCTTGCCATTCGGAAAGACAAGGAAGCAGAATGTCGTGGATGTATGGGCTCACATGGAATCTTGCAGGAGTTCGTCCACCCTTTCATCCCACAGACGTCCATCTATGCTGGCCGTGATATGTTCCCACGCCAAGCAGTGCCCGGATACAGTGGCTTCATTGTGAGGCGGGATTGCTGGACATAATGCGCCATCTTGCCTGGCTGACCGTCTGCCCTCCATCTCAAAGTCGCATCAAACTAAAGCGCGAGTGTGGTACCAGGTCAACGGACACGAATATGCTGAGCCGGCCATATGTTTGGACCCCAGTGCATGGTTCTGGTGTGGCGGAAAACTCACATCAAGCTGCAAGCAAGGAGTACATGCCAATGGCTACTTTTGTATGCTGAGGCTAAAGGCAACTGGGAGGCAGAGCTGTGGCCTTTTGACATGATTCAATCTGTCATCAACCGTTCGACCGCTTGACTCAGTAAGATGTCGACGTGTTCAGAGCCCCCTCAGATATCCGATGCCTGGCAGTTCTGGGGCACAATGTTCTTTGCTTGCAGGCTTCGGTGTGTCTATATCCCATGTGCAATCCGGTTCACAATCTGTCGGAAGACAGATCTCCGCCAAAGACGCACAATGGAGTGCTCAGAGGTCTGAGCAGTTACTACCAGCACATTCACTGAGCCTCTGTTCTATAAGTTGTGCAGGCAGCCAGACTCGGCATGCGACGTGACCTGCAAACAAGCCGCTCCTTGCCAATCATCTTTGCACCCGAAGGCCTGCGAGAGCTTTTTCTCCTTTTTGGTTGTCTGTTTCGGAGGCTTGGAGTTGCTTCTGGCGACACATGATACATGCTTCACGAATGCAAAGCTTTGCGGTTGTGTCATGTTTTCAGCCGTGCATGCAAGCAGGGTCTTTAGTACTATGGACGAGCATCAGTATCCGCACGAGCACGCCCGGAATTCATACTCAGCACTGTTCCCAGGGAGCCCCAATCGCACAGATTATTCATCCTATTTCTTGTGTCCATGTATGCCGCTGTATGAGAATAGCATGCGTATGTGAACTTGTGCGCATGCTCGTTATTTGTGTCTATAGGTATATATGTATGTATATATGTATGTATGTATGTATGTATGTATGTATGTATGTATGTAAGTATGTATGTATGTATGTATGTATGTATGTATGTATGTAACTATGTAATTATGAACGCATGTACCTGCATCTCTCTCCGGCTCTTTCCTTCTCCCTCTCTCTCTCTCTCTCGCTCTCTCTCCGTATCCATGGTTTATGCCTCCAGGTTCTTGTAGATTCGGCAGAGTTGTTGGCATCGAGTCTGTGAAACGGCCGTATTGCACACGCGCAATCATCCTTGCCTGCGCTAGGATGTATGTAACTAGGACGTCTTTCCGAGTCCCAGCTAGGAGTATGCACTATGCCGACATTGCTCTCAGATGAACATCATAATATGCATTGTGGTCGATGCACCTACATGTTACCACTGTTCGGGCTCATTCTCCTGTGGAGATTGGGGCCGAGTCTGTTCGTGCAGGGCCCATACCCTCATGGCTGAGATGGTGTGTTTTTTGCGACCGTTCCCATCTTGCGCGGCCAGGGAAGCAAATGCACACCAAAGAGCGGCGGTGAGCACCAGTCGTGTCAGAAATGCCTGTCTGGCTGTTACCTGTAGTTCGATGGGGCATCACCTGACTGGCAGATGTTCTCAAATTGAGCGGTGGCAATATGCCATTCCACGAGCAGCGCATGCCACAGATCACCTGTAGCAGAGTAGACTTACTCAGCAATTTGGCCCGGGACCGGGTAGGTAGATCATCTGCGGCGCCGGTGCGAGCCCGGTGATGTGGCAGTGTATAGCAATTTCGGCCCTGAACCCGTAACAGGGTTGGAAAAGGGTATCCCTCAAGGGGAGCTATTGAGCTGCTGCGCGTTGGGCCAAAAAAAGAGATCAGACTCCAAGAGCCCATCATTCTGTGATTGGTGGCACGAAAGCTCGAAAAGAGCAAGGCACACAGGCCAGGCAAATGCAAGGTCCGTTCAAGCTATTGTGCTGACCAAGGCTTTGCAGCTTTCGGCCGGGTATCTCAGCCTTCGGCAGTGCACATGGGTACCATAGGGTACCATAGACCATCATGTCCCTGTCGTCACGGCTGGCCAGTCGTACTCTCGTCTCTTGTTACTGTACGTTTCTCTGCTGTCATTTCGAGGCAGTGAGGAGGTGCTGACGTGTAGGTTCTCTGAGCCCGAAGTCCGAAAAGGTACGGTTCCTGGCAGAGAGCCTCTGCTGCCGGAGGCCGAGAGGGCCGAGGCTGAGCCCTGAAGCGCTAAGAGTCAAAGCACGTCAAAGCCATCCGAGGTTTACTCCAGGGCCGCTGACGGTGTCAGGGCCCGTGAAGCAGGAATCGGGGGGGAGGGGGCGGGGGGTCGCGAGGGCCTGGAAAGAGTTTCGGGCGAATCATCGCACTCCCTGCTTGGGCGGGTTTCGAACTGCTTGGGATCGGGATGGTTCCTGGGTAGATGTTGGTTGGGCCCAGGGTTTGCGACGCCTCCTTTGGAATTCTTGGTTCTGCTGATCAGCCCATCTGATCACACGCGTGACGGAGCGTCCGCACTCGTCTTGATAGTGGCGGGCTTGTGCACAACGGACATTTGACATGTGATGCTGAGTTCAGGCCATGCTGGTGGACTATGGGAGCAGAGACAAGCTGCTTCGTTTGTTCAGCCGTTTTCGCAATGAGATGAGTCGAATGTTGACCCATGAACCGTGCCGTTGGAGCAGCTGGAGCAGCGCGAGCGACATGCAACAGTCCGACTAGCTGCTCTGAGGCTTTTCCTGGATGCCGTTGAGGAAGTCCGGCATCAGCTCCTGTCGATTGCCGGTGTCTCGCAGGACGCCAGTTGCCGTAAGTCAACCTTGGTATCTGGTTCAGCTCTTTCCCGGCCTGGTTCTATGCCTCCCCATGGTGCACCAGCATCCACGGAGTTGCCTTCAGGGACACATGTCTGTAAAGATACTGGCCCCTGTCTCAGGCAGATGGGTACGAGTGCGTCATCGTGCAGGTCACAGCCCTAGAAGCGAGAAGCAAGAAGCTTCGGACGGTAGCGAAAAAGGCGGCAAGTAGCAGAAGCAGTCTTTGTCCTCCGCACAGAGAGAGAGGATCGCTTAACGTTTCCCTCCTTGTTTGCAGGGCTCTGGCACCACGGCTGTGGAAGCCATGCTCGGCGCCGCTGTGCCTCGAAAAGATGGCAAGGTGGGGGCACTGCCATCGGGCCTTTGTGAGCGTAGGCGAAGGATGTAGGGAACTTCGCAATGTGTAGGATTTAGGAAGGTCCGCAGAAGAGCACCTTCGAGTCGCGTGGCGACTGCTCGGAATGTAGACAGTCAATGCGTGTTTTTGTGGCTTAAGTTGGGTCGGCATGAGATGCGTTTACGCCTACCTAGAGGGCCAAAATTGGATCCGAAAAGCCACAAACACAACTGAAGCGGATTTGGATGTTTTTCAGCTCGCTGGAGTGAAACACCTTGACACAGGAGTGATCGATTTGGCAAGAGTGCACCGACGGTCGGTATCCCACGGCAAGCGTGCGACCTGATCAGCCGATTCGATGGATTGTCGTCGCGGTCTCTTTGTGGTCCGGGGACCTCCGACACTGCTTTGCTGGAATTGCTTGGGAACACCAACCCAGACCGCCCGTGGAATCCACCAGAGTGGACAATGAACCCGCCAAACAATGGGGACGACAGAGGCCCCGACTGGACACGGACTGTGAGTGGGATACCACTTGAAATCAAACAGGGAATACCATCCGTGCCCCTATGATTCAAATGTTCAATTGTAGCAGCAGTTGTGTGTTGCCCAGCGCCAGTTGTGCTCAAGATCCACATGGCTTCCCTGCGAGGTGCTGATCGTGACCAATGGTGCATATGGCCACCGTCAGAAGGCCGGGACCTGCCCGTACCTCCATCAGTCCGAGGCGTAGACGCTACAGTAAGTGGTGAGGGGCTGTGTCGGTTGCGGGTCGTCTCGTTGGCCTTAAACGGTCTGAAGACTTCAGACTTCAGGGCCTGCAAGGGCCACAAGCCAGTGCCAGGCCATGTGTCAATACCTCGGCATTGATCACGAGACCTTGGACTTCGAGGCCCTCTCTCCCTCTCTCTTGAAGCCGTGGTGTCGAAATGAGGCGCAGTACAGCAATCCAGCTGCTTGGTTTTGCCGACGCGCTCTTTGGGAGAATCCCAGGACCATGATGCCATCTGCGTGAAGCGCGCTGCTTGGCTTTGTTTGGTGAGCTGATAGTAGCCGGCGCAGAGGGCCAACATGGGCAAACCCAACGGCTCAGTGGTAAGTGTCACATGGCATCACAACGCCATAAGTCTGGTTGGGGGTCTTAGGCGTGGAGAGTCACAAGTGCCAGGTCCTAGCTGCGCTGCGGGAAGACGAGGAGTGGGAGTGACCGGCAGGCTGTGACTTACAAGGAGTGACTTGACTTGTGCCACGCGCAGGATTTCACCGATGTTTCTTTCGTTCACCACGAGACGACAGCCGGTGCAGCTAGGCTGCAGGAAGGCAGAGTCAGAAATCGGCTTTGGCTTGAAGCTCCGGAACTAAGGTTCTCAACCCTCTCTACGAGCTTGTCAAGAACATCAAGGCAGAATTCCCGCCCATGAGAGGCCGGGAAAACTCGAGATCCGCACCCAAAAGACACAGGGCTGTCAGAGGTAAACACGGAACTTCACCAGCAGAGGGCCTGCACCCGGCCAGTTCTTGTCGACTCCATGAGCGGTTTTGGTGCTTACCCCTTGGATATGCCACTTGGCTTCCAGAAAGGTGTGTTTTCAAGCAGACCGGTCCGCAGAGATTTTGCCGATGCATCGATAGCGCAGTCGAGGTCTTGGGGCATCGACTTCGCTGTAAGCTCCGCGAACAAATGCATCGAGGCACACTCAGCGCTTGGCTTTCGCTGTGTCTTGGGTTTTCGCCTGCAGACAGGATGCACGACACATATTTTCCAGAATCATTCTC